GTCCCCGTCCCCGAGTCGGTCAACCATCTGGTGCCGGGATTGGGTGCAAGTGATTGGCGTGGTGCGAGCTTGTTCCTAGGTGTGCCATCACAGCCTCTCCATGCACAGAAATAGTTGAGGGCCCCCGTGGGCTCTGCGCAGGTCGATTAACGCGTCGTCAGCCCACTCGAGTTCTGTTTTGTTCCGGCTCAACCTACAGCGTGGCCTGTAATGGGGATCAAAAAGTTCACCTTAGCTCATCAACACATCGTTTTGACCTTAGCTGGATCTCTCCGTCGGCTTTTTGCTTTCATTTTTTTGACAAGACTTTCAGGTTATCCGTTAACTGTAAATAGCTTCCGTATCGGCTGAACTTTGCTTTTTTGTCATCTGGCTTGTTGCCTTGTGTTTTTACCGTGAATGTGCTGACTCATAAAGTGTTCACAGAAGTGCTGAATAGCGTTCTATACTCGAAAATATTACTTAAGTAAGGTTGTAATATTAAGCGCAGTGCAGAATACTCACATGCCGGCTTTCGAACAAACATCTTTCTAGCCAACTGCAGAAACTACACTCTGTAAAACAATGACTGCTTAGGTAGTAGGAATTTTTCCCATTGATTTTCGATGTCCTTTTAAATCCAAATATATCTCATAGATAAAATGCGTAAAAATAATTACTCTTTTTTGTCATTTGACAGACAATTGTCTTTTTTAGATTTTATATTTGAAGGAACAGCATAATTCGGTTTTAGAGAGTTTCTAATTACGGAATTCTTTAAGACCGTGAAATACCCGTTCATAAAGCATCATGTGTCTGCATTTTCTAATTTTGCTTGAAAAGTTCACGATATGCTCAAATTCACTGCTTAATTTTATGAACCCCAGATAGTCTCCTCTTAATAGCGTATAGAAATGTATGATTTTCTCTATGTGGAAAATTTACAGCTTCTAGTTTGTAAACCCCGAATGCAGACGTAACGGCAGATCAGATTCAAAATTATTCGGGAACTGAAAACGTTTTTTAAAACTGAACAATACCCTTCGTTCAAGTAGGGAAATTAAAGAAATGCAATCGAAGTGCTTATATAGCCTTTGACCTCCGATCTAAGAAGTCGTATTCGGGTGACTTTAGTTCAATTTCGTCAGTTAATTTCTAAAAAAATAGCAAAATCAATATTTCAGACTGGACCACATACTTGATGCCACACGGGGAATGCTAGAGGAGTTTGTGGTGGGAAAGGCTTTACTAGTCACGAGATCGGCGAAACACGTGTCCGAACTCATGACCGGTACCTGCGCTAGAGTATGGTGGGACAATCTCACCCAGTGCACAAGTCTCACCAACTCGAATTCTGCTAGGTACACCTGGAAAGAGGGCCACTTTGCGGCAGCACAGCATACTGTACTCAAATTCGCATATATTTTTTGTCTTTAGCCGACACCCCTAATTTAAAAGCACCTGCCATCGCCGGCTCTTGTTTCCTTTTTTCGCCGTTTTGCAAGGACCGTAGGCGTTTGAGAAGGAGGATGAGGAAAACATCTTCCTGGGACGTTTTCATTCCCTTTTTTCGACATATTCTGCTGCCTTTCTAATTTGACCCTATATCTTGCTTACGTCAGACTTCCACTATAATTCCACAGCCCAACTCCCATGTATTCACTTTTTAAAAGGGTCACTACACTTCTCGCACCCAGCATCCCATCCGAAATTCGAGGGATCTTTTTTCATTCTCATTCCCCTCCCTGCTTCTTCTTCTTCTTCTCCTCCTCCTCCTCCTCCTCCTCCTCCTCCGCCACCATTTCCCCCCTGCAGTCGCACTGAATTAAATTTCCCCGCCCCACACCATCAGTGAGGCTGTTGCCGCCTCCCTGTCCCACTTTATGCTGTGTGCGTGTGCATGACTGCGGGGCAGACCGTCTCTCGTGCGCGGCCAATCGCACATCCGTCACGGAGGCTTGGCGAGGCGAAGGGGTTGGGATCATCACGCTTGACCTAATTTCCTGTTGGTCTGACTGCCAGCTGATTTCTTGGCCCTCGGACATCCATTTTTCACCTGCTCACTGACCTGTTTAGGGTGTGAAATTAAGTGTGGTGGCGTGGCACAACGCATTACTTCCGTGCCCGTGTATTTTTTGCCCACATAAATAGACACGCAGCCCGCGCAGGCGACCTTTGAAACAGCGTCACGCCAGCGCGAGCAACAACTTTTAAGTGTTGTTAGACGCTCTACTAGACTTATCTCCGACTATGGAAACCTGTTTACATTTGACACGCCACACCATTAAATCCATGGCTCCCAGGATCATTTCTCCTCAGTTATGTCCGGGAACGCCCGTTTTCGCTTCAATTATACGTGTGTACATGCATATCTTATCTTCGTCTACTTGAATTTCTTGGGTGTCCGTTTTCCAATAGACACACATATACGGCATAGCCATCTGTCCTATATTATACATATAATATATATACATATATATAAATATATATGTATTTGGAAACGGGCATCCCCAGAAATGCAGTTAGAAATAGGTGAGATTCTTTGGTAATATGATAGCCCTTATTGCTCAGCGTATAAAAAACAGTTAACTATTTAACCGTGTCTAATGAAAGCTTCCGTGGTTGCGTCAGCGCGCTCTAAGGTGGGAAAAGTGTGCAATTCACGAAAGTCTGCCACGAGGAAAGTTATCATTCCTACGCCGAAGTCTATACGGGTGAAGCCTGCGATAAACTCAACCCAGGACTACCAAATTGCGATCCGATAGAGCCAAAAGATGCTTACAACATTCACAACAGACGTACACTACCGAATTAGTGAATTTAAAGAACAGAAAAACAACACATACGGTTTACCCAAGGCTGACTTCTTGTTCAGGTATTCGAAAGTCTGCAGAAGACTTCCGTACAGTTCGTCACCGATCTCATGAAGTGTTGGCCGAAATTCTGAAATGCGTTTTCAATTAGGAAGGATTTATAAGGTGACGTTGTTATATTAATTACCATGTAGCATAATCCTATAGATTTTCGGACTCGCCAGGATGTAAGCTTTAGAATGCACTTCTTATTGACCTCATGCAGAAACCGTACTCGGTAAAAATGACTACCTAAGTAGCATGCATTTTTCACAGTGATTTTCGATAGTCATACAAGTTCAAATATATTTGCAGAAAGCATGTACAAAATATGCTTTTGTTTACTCGTCTGGTGAAAAACCACACTGTCTTTATATTTTATACCGTAAGGAAGGTTATTTTTCGGTTTTAAAAGGGGTTTCTAGTTATGAAATTTTTAAGACCGTGCGATGTCCACATATACAACATCGCACGTGTGCGTTTGCCAATACTCCTCATAAGGTGTACAACGCAGTCTGTATCCATTTCGAAATTTTGTGAACTTTATACGGTGTCTTCTCAAAAGCATTGAAAAATAGATGATTTTCCCTACGCGGAACGCACGCAGCACGTAGACTGGAATCGTTAAACGCCTATGCAACGGCTGATCAGGCTCAAAATTATTCGGGAATTGGGAAGCCTTTTCAGAACCTAAATGTACACTTTTAAGGGCATAAAATGTTAAGAAAATGTGACTTTCTGCCGAACGAGTAAAAAAAGCATATTTTTGCGCATGTTTTCTATAAAATATTTTTCAATTTGTATGAACAATGAAAATCAATATGAAAAACGCCTGCTACTTAAGTAGTCATTTTTCCCGGGTACGGCTTCTGAATTAGGTCAGAAAGAAGTGCATCCAAAGCCTACATCCTGGCAAGTTCGAAATACTATAGGATTATGCTACATGATAATTAATATTACAACGTCACCTTATAAATTCTTCCTAACTGAAAACGCATTTCAGAATTTCGGCCCACATTTCATGAGATCGGTCACGCACTGTACATGCCCTAGAATTAGAGAGATTAAAAAGAAGAGTATTTTAGACAAAAAAATGGGCCAAAAAAATTCTGCAAAAAATGCGATAATTCTACATTCCCAAAGAAGTTTATAAACTCCTAATCAGGAACCCTAACGGCAGCCGACGAGACCATGGCGAGTAAAGAAATGAAGCACAGTCCGTCCGACTCCAGGTACTTGCACTTTCTTGCCGGTTCCGGATCGACTTTAACTTCAGCTAGTTCGCCAGAGAAGGAGCAATTCACAAATCATTACAGTACCGTTTAAGTCTTGAATTGCGGAAGGCGATTGCAGAATCGCATGTTCGACACGGTTAAGTGGTTAACTGCTTTTGTACATGATCCGTTAGCCCCAAGATGAGCTGTGGAACCAGGCTCGAAAAGTTAAGCGATAAAGATTATTTTATTTCCAAATGATCTAGCCTTTTTCTACTATATGTATATGTATAGAGGCAGAAAAAGATCACCGAAAAGGACACCGGGGATTGGAATGGCCGTTTCTGGCTCAATATCCGTCATCAGCCGGTCAAGAAGCGGCCATTCCAATCTCACTGACCTTTGTCTATAGTCACCTTCTGTGCACATTACTAGTCGCTATGCGACCGCCTGGGGAATTTGAGATGGAATCCCAAAGCACAACGGGACGAGCGGATCCCGTAACACGATCAGTGAGCACCCCCCCCCCCCCACATAACACATAGATATGTACTGTAAGTTTGACGCAGTATGCATGTTGGCCTGAGATTACTGAAAAAGACAGAGGCTCTTCAGAAAACTCAGGCCTTTCCAGCGCCGTGCGTCACCCGTCACAGTAGAGTTTGATGGGCGGGGAGGGGGGTTGCCAAAACAATGCTCACTGTGCGGGATGCTGCAAGTCGGCAAGATAAGGGCGCGACATGGAAGGTGTGTGTGTGAGGAGGGTGACGGATCAGGAAATGGCAGACGTTTAGACGTGGGCTGGCTGTTCATGCAGTTTTACAACGAGCGCAGTCGACCATCAGGAGGTGGGAGTCGGGCATGCAGTCCGCCGATGGCGTGCTGGGTGGCGCGGGGGGGTGCAGGGTGACGTTTCAGTGAGCTGCCATATGGCCAGACATGGGCAAATTTTCACTGCTGTTCGGTGCGAGTGGTCAGTTATGTGTCCTTGAGTTCTTTATAGTGGGATCAAGGACGAAATGACGGTTAGTCGCGCTGTACCGCGGAGTTTCGCTAAATTCTGATGCCTGTTTTGTGCTCGCCGTCTCAATCGAGGCAGTGGTCAATTCCACGTGCGTACAGGAACAGGTTTTGCTAACGACTTTTATATATGTATATACAATGGATGAAATGAAAGCCGAAATTCTGAAACATGTTTCCAGTTGGAAAAGGTTGTTTTAGTGGAATTGTAATATTAACTATCGTGCAGCGTAAGCCTAAGATATTTCAGTCACATCAGGATACCGGCGTTTGAATGAGCTGCTTTTCGCTCGTCTGCAAAAACCAGTCTGTAAAAAAGATTGCCTAAGTAGTATGATATTTTCCTATTGAATTTCGGTACCCATACATATTTAATTATATTTTATAGACAATGTGCACAACAGGTATTCTTTCTTATACTGATTTGGTAGCACATTACTTCCTTTTCTTTAAATTTCCTACTTGAAAAGAAAGCATCTTTTGATTTTTAAAGACTTTTTCAATTCCCGAATAGTTTTTTGCCCCACCTGCTTTTGCACTCGCATTCGGGGTTTCAAAACTAGATGCTGTATACATTCCACCAACGATATATCCAACATTGCTCTGCGCTGTTAAGAATAAGTCGTGTAGCATTTATAAAATTGTGCAATGGATGTAGCCCAGGTTGTATACCGTATAAGTAGCAGCAATAAACATGCCGATACGGTGCCATATGAAGGATTATTTCACGATCTTAAAAAATCTCACAATTATAAACTTTTTTAAAATCGAAAGACATCTTTTCTTTGGGGATTAAAATTTGAAGAAGACAAACTTTGCTAACAAATAAGTGGAAGAACGAAATTTACGTATGTGTTTCCTGCAAAATGTAGTCGAATCTATAAGGGCATCGAAAAACAATGGATAAATTTTACGCTACTTAAGTAGTCATTTTTTGCAGGTTGCGACTTTTGCGAGCGGACCAAAAGAGGTTCGTTTGAAAACCATCGTCTTGTTGTGACTGAAATATCTTAGGATTATGCTGCATAATAAATAATATTACAACCCACTTGAGTAAACTTTTCGAATCGAAAGCACATTTTGGAATTTCGTCCAAAATGTCATGAGGTAGCACATCTGCTGTTTACTATAGATCATAAACTATGTTAGGGGCGCTCACCGATCGTTTATACGGAACTCACTCGTTCCGTTGTGCCTTATGGACTCTCTCTCGAGCCCAACCAGCAGCCGCACAGCGGCGCATGATATATAGGCAGAGTGATATTGCCGACAAAGACAAGGGAGACTGGAATGGCCATTTCTGGCTTATTAGCCGTCGTCAGCCAGCCATACCCAAGCCCGAAGTGTGGAACACCCGAGCCTCGAACTCGCGACCTGTTGGTTTAGAAGTCAACGCCTCTACTCACCGGGCCACGAGCCCGTTGCCTTGTCGGTTTTCGATCGGGAATATACAATGTTAGGGGCCATTCCAGTCTCCCTTGTCTTTGTCGGCAATATCACTCTGCCTAGATCATAAACTTGTAACTCGCGTATGGGTACACGTGAAAATGTTTCTGTTGATGAGTCTGTCCAAGCCATTTTTATCAAATTGGAATTTACTATAACTAAAAAAATTGCAAAACCCTAACTCTAAAAGGACTAGCTAGAATCTTTCTGGCCGGGATTATTCGCCCATGCCAGATGTCAGAGCCATATTTTGACCCTGCCGTCATCACCGTGCACCACACGTTTTGGTAATCCTGAATAAAATCAGCAGATTAAAAACGCCATTTCTCCTGTATGCATAATTCCAAGGGAGTTGCCCTGGGACGAGTTGCACATGACGTATTCTGGTTTCTCCCACGCTTTGCCGACGCAGTGTCACGGAAACACTCAGCAACGTGTCTTGTCCTACTTCACGGGACACTTTCGCCAAACTGAACCCCCAATATTCACTCAGGAATGGGCGCACACCGATCC